GTATGGAGATTTAAATTCCTCAAAGTATTTTTCAGTTTATTGTAATTTTTTCCCATGGGAATCTCTGTCTTCAGCCATGGAGGCAGTCTTAACCTAAGGAAAGCCAATCATAACTATTAACAACAATGCTGCCAAATAATCATATAACTTAATGTCACTTTGCTCTATTATAATTCCTAGTTAGGAATTTTTTCCATAATTCTGAACTAACTCTTAAGATTCTGCCATAGGGGTAAGAACAGAGAACGAAATTTAAATTTGCTCAAATCACTTTAAAAAACATAAGTAAGTCACTGTGCTCATGTCTACCTTTTGCAAAGGCACAGAGTTATACTATTCTAATAAAAGAATAAGGAAGTCATTGAATAGCTCATTTTCCACAAGTTAATACTGCCAAAAAGTACTTTATTTGTTTAGAGTATGGAATAATTCCAACTGTGGGCTATACTACAGTTTAAATTTTATAGCGGTTAGTCAAGGGGAAAAACTCTAAAATTTGGAGTGGAGACTATGTTTTCTCACTTCTCTTATGCATCATGATTTAGAAGTTGTTGGATAAAGTATCTCCTAAACAATTTGACCTCTGAATAAAATTCCCTCACTATTCTTTTAAATTAAGGCAAGTTATCCAGGGGCCTTACATACACTGACTAGGAGAAGCATTAAGTTAGATTGTCATCATTCAGTAACAATTAAAAATTTATGAAGATCTAACTGATTAGTAGCAAAGTAATCTGCATAGAAAATAGGGAGATGGAGAGTAGGATAGTCAGGTCTTAGGAAGGTCAAAGAAAAACTGTCAAAGGGCAGGCTCGGGACTCACAGGTCAGTGAGTAGGGTGCTGACCACATACACTGAGGCTGGTAGGTTTGAGCCCAGCTGGGACCTGCTGAACAACAATGACAACTGCAACCAAAAAATAGCCATGCGTTGTGGTGGTCACCTGTAGTTTCAGCTACTTGGGAGGCTGAACTAAGAGCATTGCTTAAGCCCAAGAGTTTGAGGTTGCTGTGAGCTG